GAAGAAGAAGAAGAAGAAGAAGAAGAAGAAGAAGAAGAAGAAGAAGAAGAAGATTAATTAATCCAATCTCCCCCCCGCCCCAGGTGTGGACAGAGGAATCCAGCGGAGTCGGTGCAGTGAATTTCCTGACTGGCATGGGTGGTTACCTCCAGTCTCTTGTCTTCGGATACGGAGGCTGCAGAATCCACGACGACCACTTAACCTTTGACCCAAAGACTATCCCGAACACCTCTGGGGTCACTTTTGTCGGTCTAGACTACAGGGCCTGCAGCTTTGACGTCAGTTACAACAACAGTCACGTGACATTAATTTTGACGAAAGGAGACAGATCTTCTGAAACTCTCGATGTAAAATTTCAAGAATGGGGAACTTGGGAAACGCTTCGAGTTGGCGTAAATGTTACGGAAAAGAGACAACAGTTTGAAATTCGGAAGTCTCAGCGTTGATAAGAGATGGGTTCATGATATTGACACCTTGCCAGTATTCGTTCATTTATCTGGAAGGGTTAATGAACTATTAATGATAATATAGACAAAATTCCAATCCAGTATTATCTGCAAGGCATAGCTTTAAATTACCACCCATTCCCCCTTTGTTGTGCCATTTGTTTTGCAGGAGCATTTAAAACAAAGTGCACACTGCAATTACAAGTTTTGTCAAATCTCCCTCTAGTGACCTCCAGTCGATATATCTGGTTAGCCAGGTATTTCATTCGTGGGCGGGCAGATGCAAGCTACTATTATGGCACAATTTGATCAAATTCTTCAAAAGCCATGGGTTCTTTTTCAGGTCACGCATCTTATGCGTCTGATACGTCCGATGAAATCAGCCAATCAGAAAGCTATGCATTGTGGTGTCAGATCTTCTGTTTGCGCCTGGAATACGATATAAGCCCCTAATGAACTTGTGGGTCAAATTTGATGAAGCTAATTAGAGGCCCACTTGTTATAGTGTGCACCAGCCCAATCCGATTCAATTTTATCGGGTCCATTTGACCAATGGACACCCGTTACTAAAACCAATCCCGCCCCCTCCCAATTGTGCCATTTTACTTTGCATTTATTAAGGTATGCATTTTAAATAATTTTGATAACCCGAAATATTGCTGTGTACGGAGATAACGAGTAACATAGTTACATTTATTTTAGTTTACATTTTCTACAGTTCTTAACACCGTCATAATATTATCCGGTCAAGCGAAATGTGCCATTTAAAATTGAAATCTTACGCTCCTTTATAATATCAAAATTGTGTTGAAGGAGGCATAAACATTTTTACAATCATGGTGAGATCTAGCCATAGACTACAACTAAAAGACACCCTCTCTCACCTTCTTCATTAAGGGCGCCGAAGGAAGTTTACTTACTCCTTCAGAAATATGTTTTAGTTTATAATACTTTTAGTATAACTTATTATTTGAACGGTTGTGCATTTTTTTCATTTATTATTCACAATGTTTAATTTGTCTTGTCGCACAATGTTGTTAATTTTCTTGTTGTTGTACTTTTAATGAGATTATTTTAAAGGCTTCTATTTGTTTGGGCCAAGTTTTTATTTGAATTACTGTGTGATACCAAATAAAAACAAAGATCTAATATTTTATTAAACATGGTACATTGTCTTGTTACGTT